GTGTGTGGGTGTTCGTGTATAGGGTGTGTGGGCGTTGGTGTATAGGATGTGTGGGTGTTCGTGTATAGGATGTGTGGGTGCAGGTGTATAGGCATAGATCTGTGTAGGCAAAACGTGCCCTTACATAAAATGCAGAGATGCACGTAGGGGAATGCATGTTTATACAGAATATCTGCGTGTGTGTACATGCAAAAAATGATATACTTACAGGCCTGCATAGATACCAAACATACGCATGCAGAGGCACAGGAATATATTAGTGTATGCATACATAGACATCTAGATGTGCGTATGTGGCAGCGTGCCGCATTTACCATTGAACCTTGTCAACTCACTGGTTTATATCAATAAAGTATATTTTTGCTTCTCTCTCACTACGTCCACAAAAGAATACAAACCATGTATATGCACATCTATGACTGCCTGTAGGTATGCATAAATATACATACATATGTATGTATAAACATGCATACATACCATACCTAGGTGTATGTACCTAAATATATACTCATATAGACAATATAGATGTATATGAATAGGCAAAACAGGTGTATGGATCTATATGTATCCACAAAACATATACAGGGGGATATGTAAGTACATATATAGACACATAAACATAGAATCATAGAATCGTTTAGGTTGGAAAAGTCCTTTAAGACCATCAAGTCCAACCGTTAACCTAACACTGCCACCCCACCACTAAACCATGTCCCTAAGCACATCTATGTGTATACACAAAACAAAGAAGTATATGTATAAGTACACATACGTGTATATGTGTATATATATGCATATGCAAAACATACACAGATACCTTCCAAAGGAGGTTATGAGGGTAGGCAGAGGCAGGAAGAGCAGCAGGCACAGCTTTATGATTTATTTCTTTGTATTTTGTTTTATTTACAGCCCCTCAGGCTCGAGCTGCTGTTGGGGCAGCCTAGAGGAGGGGGTCCCGCCTGTGGAGAGGCTCTCCTGGGAGAGGAAGAGTGGCAGGACAGATCCCCCATGGTGGGCGCCTTGGCGGCCAGCCAGTCCATCTCCATTGGCACCGGGGCGCAGGCGTAGGCCAGCAGCGTGCCTCATACCAGCTTGCCGCCACACGGCCCGTGAGCATGAATGTTGTCCAGGTCTTTGGAGACCTGGTTGTTGTCCAGGTCGCTGTAGACCACCTTCCTCCATGGTGGTCCAGTTCCCCGGTAGATCCTCCTTGGAGGGATACTTCTCCTTCACGCCCCAGAGGAGCCACCACCAGAGGCTGTGGGCAACAGCTCCTCTCCTGATCTCCCTGTTGATGGGATGGTCCCTCATGAGGGGCCCCAGCTGCTGCTCTTCCTGGCCCTCCAGAGCCAGAGTGCTCGCCCCCATGTCCCAGCACCGGAGCAGGCAGGTGGCGAGCTGCTTGCCCAACTGGCGGGTGAAGTCTTTCCGCACCACTCACGCCCCGCCGGGGAAGAGGCAATGGGCAGTTTCCACCTCCTGCCCACCTCCTGTCACCCCCCTGGGGCTGCCCCGCTCCCTCCTCCTCCCTCACCAATGGGCTGGACCTCTGCTTCCACTGCTTCTCCTCGGAGGCAGCCGACAGCCAGGTCTCTGCTTGAGCCGCCATGTCCGTTTGCGCATGCCTGGGCGCAGCGGCCGGTCTGTCCCCATGAGACGGCTGGAGGAAGGCCCGGTAGGCGTAGGCCAGGCCCCAGCACAGCGCCAGGAGCTGCTGTCTCTTCTCGGCATAGATGAGACAAGCGGCCTTCAGGTGCTCCGCCACCTCGGCAAGCCTCCGCGCCTCTTCGGGCATGAGCTCCCAGGCTGTCAGGGGTGAAAACCACCGCAGGTACCTGCCCGAGCCCTCCCACGCCCCTTCCCACCCAGGCATCGGCTGCCCTGGGGCACAGCCCTCAGCTGCACCCCCCACCCCAGAGGCATCGTCGAGGCCTGAACCAGGATGGCTGGGTTGGGGGTCCAAGGTGGTGGCAGCGGGTGGTGGGCAGCGGGGGGCCGCAGGGACACTGTCATTACCCTCACCCACAGAGGCCACCTTCAAAACCAAGCTGACGGCACACAGCTGTATGAGCGTTCCCCTTGCGCAGAGATGCTTGAGAAGGCGGGGGTCCATTACAGCACGGCCAGGAAGACCTGTCCCCCAGAGAGAAGAGGAGAAGGAAAGTGCAATCGATGATTGCCCCCACGAGATAGTCCCCAGAACAGTGGGACAGCAGCACTGCAGGGACCAAACACCAGGCTCAAGGCCATTTTTATCATAGGTCCCCCCGGGCAAAACACAGCAACACAGCAGACTGTGGCTGAAAGCAGCCATTAGCGATCTCTGCCAAGTAACTGCCACACAGCTATAAATTCAGTCTAACACACTCCGATCAAATCTGTTGTTATCTCAACCCCCTCCTCAAGCCCCATGTTGGGTGCCAAAAAGGACGGTGGTGGGTTGACCCCAGCCACCAGCAGAGCACCCACACAGCTGCCTGCTCACTCCCAACCCCTGCCATATGGCTGGGGAGAAGATAGAAAGAGCAAAAGCAAGACAACTTGTGAGTTGAGTTATAGACAGTTTAAAACGTAAAGAGAGAAAAACCCTCAAGAAATTCAAAGGCAATCACTCACCAACTCTCACAAGCAGTTGGATGCCCAGTCTCTGAGCAATAGCTGCCTTGGAGGACAAAAACCCCAGAGCCAAAGCCCCTGCCTCTTCTTCCTCTACCTTAGCTTTTGTAGCTGAGCATGATGCTGTATGGCATGGAATATCTCTTTGGCCAGTTCACGCCAAAGCTGTCCCAGCTCTGTCCCCTCCCAGCTTCTTGCCTGCACCCAGCCTAGCTGCTGGGGAGGCAGAGTGGGAAAGAGAAAACCTTGAGGCTGTACAAGCAGATAGCCAAAACACCCATGTGTTATCAACAGTGTTTTAGCCACAAATCCAAAGCACGGCATCACAGGGGTTGCTGTGAAATAGTTAACTCCATCCCAGGTGGACCCGGTACAGATAAATACACATACACCTATAAATGCATACAATACATAGATATATGCACCTATATATGTATACACAAAGACGTGTGTGTGTGGTACACAGTGAATGCCAGAGGCAAGATGGCACAGACAAAGCAACTTCCCCCTGCAACACGAGCAAGAGAGCCAAGCTTGCTTTCAGGTCTCATGCTTGCCGCTGGAGGTGGCAGATCCCCCAGGTGTAGTGGGGTTAAAGCTGGCAAGCAGCAGTGGGCCCCAATTTCATCCTCAGCTCTTGCAAACACCAGTGAGCATGCCGTTGGATGATAGCAATGCCTCACTGTAACTAGTTCAGTTAGACAATACTCAATTAATACAAGCTATTCCATGTCAGATAGAGGATAGAGTAATAGCATGTTAATTACATTTAAAAGCCATGTCCCGAAAAGGCAATCAAGTAAGCTCAAAAGGCACATGGGAATGCAGGGATAAGAGCTGACAAGCTACACCAGTTTTCAACTGATTTAATTTTTTCCCTTCGGTTTAAGGTGTCAGAGAGTACTCTGCTGAGAATCACGATGAGATCGAGATCGTCATTTTTTTCCTTTGTGACCTCAGATTCTTCTCAGCAAAATTAAGATGATACTATGCTACCTGGCAAGTAGCCTCAGGATTACATCCACGTTCTCAGTGTGTGTACAAAGGTACAGTGCAGCGAGTCCCAGCACCACCCGTGGGAAACGCTTTGGGAAGGTCTCCAGAGCAGGCATCAAAATCATCCTGCAAAGGACATTGTGAAGTCTTAGGTTTCATTCTATGTGGCACAGCTAATGGGGCTTCTTAATATGTCTTCTGCATTCCCGTTTTAAAAAATCAATACCCTTAAGCTCAGTAATTATAGCAAGACATCTATCAAGAGAACAAAAATCTACAGGACTGCTTTTTCCACAAACTGCAGGATGGGAAGCTTTCAGGGCCCTTCCTGGACCAGAAGCATGTTGTTGTTAGTAAGCTCAGGGTCACAGAGATTCCCCTCTGTGCTTCCCAATAAATCACACAGCAACCAGCTCTCCCACAGTTGCAGGTGGGGAGGAGCGAGGGGAGAAGAATATAGTTCTGGGGATTAAAAGAGGAAAAGAGAAGGTGCCACTACCAGGTTTCTCTCTACAAAAGCAAATTTCACAAGTCAGTGATAAAATTTGGTGGTCAAAGCAGTGACGATAACGTTTTCTCCTGAAAAGATTATCAGCTAAAAGTGGACAGTTTTACAGACTTTAACCAACCACTATCAGTGGTAGAGATGGTGATGGAATTTGCAGTTTTGCAGCTGCAGAAATCCAGTTCCCATCCCATAACAGCCGGAGGCACTGCCTAACGCAATCACAGGCTTACACAAATACTGTCAGAGAGAGCAGGAATCCGTAGGTGGGATTTGTCCAGGTTTTCAGTATGTATGCAGAGTCTGTATAATTGTGCAGTTTGGGCCCGACAATTTAAAGACTTTTTAAAGACATTTTAAAGACTATTTCAATAAATTCACTTTTCTTCTGGTACCTATGTCTGTGTCTACATCTGCAAGTAGCACAACCTCTGCGGAGCAAAGCAGTTAGTTGGTGCCGAGGACCGGACGGCCACACCATGTGTGCTTCAGCGGTTGTTACTTCAGGCTAGCTTTAGTCTGGTCCCAGCGCCTGGTGGTATGTTTGTGGCTGGAGTGCATTAGGGGCACTTCCAGACCACGTCTGCAAGTTTAATTTTGCCCAGAA